ACAGTGATACTATGATTTTTGACAGTGACATTATGACATTCGACAGTGATACTATGATTTTTGACAGTGGTATTATGACATTTGACAGTGATACTATGATTTTTGACAGTGACATTATGACATTCGACAGTGATACTATGATTTTTGACAGTGTTTTTTTTACTTCTGTGAAATAATTTACTATGTAATCATTACACAGTATATGCCATCCACCTCACCTGTTGACTCTGACTAACAGATGAATGGTTCATCAGAATCAATTATGAAATACTCTTGCACAGGAGTGGGCCTCCATCAGAATTTTGCCTCTGTTGATTACCTTGTGAGACGGATCAATACACCGTCGCTGTCGGGGGCACGTGTGAACCGTTGTAATACAAGGACATTGATTACTGTACTAATACATTCGGCTATGGTGTGGATTTTAGCACCCTGGCAAACAAGATAAGGTCCCAAAAGCCCAATAGTTTTTTGTTATACATGTTCATGTCCAAATAAGGCTCTAATCACTAATATAACTCTAATGACCTCCATTGCTTGATGGAGACTTAGACACGGTTTATATTGGCCTGTTTATAAATAGACTTTCATATTATCACTCTACTCACCATCTTATGCTCTTTATCAGTTTTACATTGTTTAGTTTCTCTTTCCTTCTTTCTCCCTATCTTTTCTTCCTTATTTGTTGTATTGACAAGTGAATAAATAGTGAAAATTTATACAAGAAATTTTAGGGAGATCTCTCACATACTTTTGTTCTAATAGCAATAAAAATATGTAAATGTGTCAATCCAAGATATTCTTTTATCTGCTTGTAATCATAAACAAACATCAGGGTAGTGAGCCCCACTGTCAAACAGAGAATGGTAAGGTAGAGAGCCAAACTGCTGAAATTGAGAATGGTAGGGTAGATAGCCTAACCACTGCAAAGGCAGGGAAGCAAGCCCCACCAATGTAACAAAGAAAGGTATGATAGAGAGCCTTACCACTGAAACAGATAAAACCAGGGTAGAGAGCCTTACCACTGAAACAGATAAAACCAGGGTAGAAAGCCTTACCATTGAAACAAATAAACCAGGGTAGAGAGCCTTACCACTGAAACAGATAAAGCCAGGGTAGAAAGCCTTACCATTGAAACAAATAAACCAGGGTAGAGAGGCTTACCACTGAAACAGATAAAACCAGGGTAGACAGCCTTACCACTGAAACAGATAAAACCAGGGTAGAGAGCCTTACCACTGAAACAGAGAAAGGAAAGTTGAGAGTTCCAACACATGCAATGAAACAGAGAAAGGCAGGGTAGAGAGCCTCACCACTGAAACAGAGAAAGGAAAGTTGAGAGCTTCACCAAATGCACTGAAACAAGGAAAGCAGCTAATGTAGATAGACCAACCACTTCCAACTTCACTATTGAAACAGTGAAATGGCAGGAAGGACAGCCCCACCAATAAAACAGAGAAAAAGCAGGGAATATGTAGAAAGCCCATCACTCAAACAGATAAACAGAGAAAGGTGGGATAGACAGTCCCATCACTCAAATAGAGAAAGGCAGGGTAGAGAGCCCCATCACTCATAGAAAGGCAGGGTAGAGAGCCCCATCACTCAGAGAAAGGCAGGGTAGGCAGGGTAGAGAGCCCCATCACTCAGAGAAAGGCAGGGTAGAGAGCCCCATCACTCAGAGAAAGGCAGGGTAGAGAGCCCCATCACTCAGAGAAAGGCAGGGTAGAGAGCCCCATCACTCAGAGAAAGGCAGGGTAGAGAGCCCCATCACCCAGAAAAAGGCAGGGTAGAGAGCCCCATCACCCAGAAAAAGGCAGGGTAGAAAGTCTCACTGCTCAAACAGTTAAATACAGGTTAAGATATTCTAGCTGGGATAGTGTAATATAAAAAGAACTAGAAGCAAGAATCTCATTAATGTTCCTTTCATTATCTATCGCCAGGCCATATTTAATCATAATTTTATACCTTTCCCATCTGACATAATAGCCCTATCACAAGACAGCTTTCGATAATTAAAATCTCCTTTAAAGACCCTGCAGCATGCACACTTTAATATTCTGTGGAATTATTTCTGCAAATGTTTCTACAGGAAGATGATCATTTAAATAACAATCCATAAAGCACTGAAATCCATTCAAAAACATTACAGTGACATTAGAAAAGTCATTCTGATCAAAACCATAATTACAATTTTCATGTCTCTCAGTGGTATTAAACTGTTTTCATTTCCCATCAAAATCTCTAGTTGGCGTTCTTAAGAAAGTACACATAGTTGCACAGATTTCAATCTCTGTTCAAAACCACAAATAGATTTAGAAGGAGGCAGCAGAAGAAAATGACCTGCCATACTTTCTTTGATATCTCTAAAAATGAAGTTCCCAGATCCTATAGAACTTAAACGTTTTGAAAAACTGAACTTATTAACTCTAATATTAACACTAAAATGGATGGTGACAATGACTTCAATGTCAACACTCATGCTAACTGAAAGTGACAACTTAATCACACTTCCTCTTCTAACATGTCATGGTGAGTGATTAATACAACTGATAAGCTGAGTGCAGTAATCTACTTCAAAGTTTCAACAAAAAGTACCCAGGATGATATATGTTGCCTGCAGTTAGTCTGACTTTGTAATATTTGACTGGATATAAGTAACCATCAAACATCATTAATATTGCTAGTTTTATCAGACACTATGAGTTTCCTTTTTCTATATATTTACATGCAGTAACATTGACAATGGACCACTTACTGATCAACATGCTCATTTGTTAAAATCTGCATCATGTGCTGTGGTGTCTATTCTCAAATTTACAGTGTTGTGGTGTCCATTCTCAAACTTACATGTCTAATGGTGTCCATTCTCAAACCTACATGTCTTATGGTGTTCATTCTCAAACCTACATGTCTTATGGTGTCCATTCTCAAACCTACATGTCTTATGGAGTTCATTCTCAAATATACATGTCTTATGGTGTCCATTCTCTAACTTACATGTCTTATGGTGTTCATTCTCAATTATACATGTCTAATGGTGTCCATTCTCAAACCTACATGTCTTATGGTGTTCATTCTCAAACCTACATGTCTAAAGGTGTCCATTCTCAAACTTACATGTCTTATGGTGTTCATTCTCAAACTTACACGTCTTATGGTGTCCATTCTCAAACGTACATGTCTTATGGTGTTCATTCTCAAACTTACATGTCTAATGGTGTCCATTCTCAAACCTACATGTCTTATGGTGTTAATTCTCAAACCTACATGTCTTATGGTGTCCAATCTCAAACTCACATGTCTTATGGTGTTCATTCTCAAACTTACATGTCTAATGGTGTGCATTCCCAAACTTACATGTCTAATGGTGTCCATTCTCAAACCTACATGTCTTATGGTGTTCATTCTCAAACCTACATGTCTAATGGTGTCCATTCTCAAACTTACATGTCTTATGGTGTTCATTCTCAAACCTACATGTCTAATGGTGTCCATTATCAAACTTACATGTCAGATGGTGCTCATTCTCAAACTTACATGTCTTATGGTGTTCATTCTCAAACTTACATGTCTTATGGTGTCCATTCTCAAACCTACATGTCTTATGGAGTTCATTCTCAAATATACATGTCTTATGGTGTCCATTCTCTAACTTACATGTCTTATGGTGTTCATTCTCAATTATACATGTCTAATGGTGTCCATTCTCAAACCTACATGTCTTATGGTGTTCATTCTCAAACCTACATGTCTAAAGGTGTCCATTCTCAAACTTACATGTCTTATGGTGTTCATTCTCAAACTTACACGTCTTATGGTGTCCATTCTCAAACGTACATGTCTTATGGTGTTCATTCTCAAACTTACATGTCTAATGGTGTCCATTCTCAAACCTACATGTCTTATGGTGTTAATTCTCAAACCTACATGTCTTATGGTGTCCAATCTCAAACTCACATGTCTTATGGTGTTCATTCTCAAACTTACATGTCTAATGGTGTGCATTCCCAAACTTACATGTCTAATGGTGTCCATTCTCAAACCTTCATGTCTTATGGTGTTCATTCTCAAACCTACATGTCTAATGGTGTCCATTCTCAAACTTACATGTCTTATGGTGTTCATTCTCAAACCTACATGTCTAATGGTGTCCATTATCAAACTTACATGTCAGATGGTGCTCATTCTCAAACTTACATGTCTTATGGTGTTCATTCTCAAACTTACATGTCTAATGGTGTCCATTCTCAAACCTACATGTCTTATGGTGTTCATTCTCAAACCTACATGTCTTATGGTGTCCAATCTCAAACTCACATGTCTTATGGTGTTCATTCTCAAACTTACATGTCTAATGGTGTCCATTCTCAAACTTACATGTCTAATGGTGTCCATTCTCAAACCTACATGTCTTATGGTGTTCATTCTCAAACCTACATGTCTAATGGTGTCCATTCTCAAACTTACATGTCTTATGGTGTTCATTCTCAAACCTACATGTCTAATGGTGTCCATTATCAAACTTACATGTCATATGGTGCTCATTCTCAAACTTACATGTCTTATGGTGTTAATTCTCAAACTTACATGTCTTATGGTGTTAATTCTCAAACTTACATGTCTTATGGTGTTCATTCTCAAACTTACATGTCTTATGGTGTTAATTCTCAAACCTATATGTCTAATGGTGTCCATTCTCAAACCTACATGTCTTATGGTGTCCATTCTTAAGTTTACATTTATTGTGATATCTATTATCACATTAAAAACTTCCATCTTAAACGTGATGGTTAATCAAATTCAGATTTCTTAGCTATGATACATAATATGGTCTTAGTTGATAGTAATAAACTGGACAATGGACATTTGATACTGACAAATGTCGATACTGAAATGCATATAGACAGAGTCTGGTTCATAGTAAATTTAAGCTAAATTCAAAATCTGAAAAGTGTTAAAATGTCTGAAGATCCATTCTAAGATGAATAAAAAATACTCACCATATGATGTTCCTGGACCGTAGTCATTGCCTGCATCTATCATCACATTGCCCAATTGTTCCTGGTGATTGTTTCTATCTCGTTTCTTTTTATCCAATTTCTCGTAGAAGAAATCTTCCATTCTTATATCTGAAATGTTTAAATTGACAACGTCAAACATATGTTTATCGATCGGACAATTACTCAACCATCAGAGGCTGCTGACTACAATGTGTAAGAAAAATTATATCTGTCACTGCCATAATTGTTTTGATGGGATAACCATTTCTAATACAATGAATAAAACACAATATTTAGGTCTCAAAAGAAGGTGTTTATCACAGAACAATGATACAGTATATGTTGGCTTCTGAAACTGGATTTGAAGTTGGTAGGATCATTTGTAGGTTATGAAATAGTTGTCAAATAAATCTACCACAGAACTAATTAGAATGTAAGGATAGTTGATATATAGATATTATACTTGTAGAACATTTTAATGGTCAACATTCTGTATACAAAACAAGTGTCCACTGGTCTCTACAGAACAATGAATATATACGCATGTAATGATTTTGTGGAAAAGAGAAAGTACCTAGACAGAAGTTTTAACTACATAATGACTGAAAACATTAGATGTACGTTGTACCTAAATAATGACTGAAACCATTACATGTATGTTTCACTACAAAATGACAGAAACCATTACATGTATGTTGTGCCTAGATAATGACTGAAAACATTACATGTATGTGCTACTATTTCCTTACTGACCTTAACTTTTGACAATTAATTTCGCCTTACAACTTCAAGTCAGTTTCGGGCAGAATTGAAAGGTCATTACATTATATACAATCAACCACCTGATAACATTAAAAGGCTTTTAGTACAGTAAACAAATTTTAGATAGAACCTATTAATTTGGACAATGGAGACAATGCCAAATGGTATATAAATCCTAACCTTGGAATGAGAACATCCTTCATTCTCTACACTGTCTGTACTTACTCGGGTTTGGCTGCAGAACAGCTTCTGTCTGGCGTAATACTCGTTCTGTCCATAACTTAGTTTTGTCAGCTCTCTGTAGAAGGTTTTCAAAGTGGGCATCTAATTCTGTTTTTTCTGCTGATCCCAATTTTTCTTCTGTAAACTATAATTAAAGAATCAGTAATTAGAATGTGAAAGGAAGTATACATGTAACAGGTATATCAGAAATCAGATTGGTAAACTAGTAACATGGAGAGGTCATACGAGTTATTGAAGTTAGGAAAACTGAAACAAAATGTCAAGGGAGATACAAGAAGGAAATGTTTGAGGAGATACAAGGAGGAAAGGTCAGGGAGATACAAGGAAGAAAGGTCAGGGAGACACTAGGAAGAAAGGTTGGGGAGGCACTAGGAAGAGAGGTCAGGGAGACACAAGGAAGAAAGGTCGGGAGATACAAGGAGGAAAGGTCGCGAGATACAAGGAGGAAAGGTCGGGAGATACAAGGAGGAAAGGTTGGGAGATAAAAGGAGGAAAGATCAGGGAGATACAAGGAGGAAAGGTCGGGTGATACAAGGAAGAAAGGTCAGGGAGACACTAGGAAGAAAGGTTGGGGAGATACAAAGAAGAAGGCCAGGGGAAATATGGGAAGGAAAGGTCAAGGAAGATACAGGGAAGAAAGGTTGAGGAGATACAAGGAGGAAAGGTCAGGGAGACACAAGGAAGAAAGTTCGGGAGATACAAAGAGGAAAGATCAGGGACACAAGGAAGAAAGGTTGGGGAGACACAAGGAAGAAAGGTTGAGAAGATACAAGGAGGAAAGGTCAGGAAGACACAAGGAAGAAAGGTCAGGAGACACAAGGAAGAAAGGTCAGGGAGACACACAGAAGAAAGGTTGGGGAGACACAAGGAAGAAAGGTCGGGAGACACACGGAAGAAAGGTTTGGGAGACACAAGAAAGAAAGGTCAGGGAGACACAAGGAGGAAAGGTCAGGGAGACACAAGGAAGAAAGGTTGGGGAGATACAAGGACCAAAGGTTGGGGAGACACAAGGAACAAAGGTTGGGGAGACACAAAAATACCAAGAAGAAGGCCAGGAGAGACATGGGAAGGAAAGATTAAGGGAGATACAGGAAGAAAAGGTCAGGGGAGTCACTTCAAAGAAAGATCTTGGAGATACAAGAAGGAAAGGTCAGGTAAGATAATTGAAGGAATGGTGAGGGGATGCAGGAAGGAAAGATCAGAGGTGATATGGGAAGGAAAGGTCAGAGGTGATATGGGAAGGAAAGGTCAGAGGTGATATGGGAAGGAAAGGTCAGAGGTGATATGGGAAGGAAAGGTCAGAGGTGATATGGGAAGGAATGGTCAGAAGAGATATGAGAAGGAAAGGTGAGAAACAATATCTGAAGGAAATGTCAATAGAGATACAGGAAGTAAAGGTCCTACATAGATAACAATTTGTTGTCAAGAGATTTTAAAGTAGTTTGTATAATCATAAGATTTTAAGATCTAGACATGTACAGAAATGTACTGAAAGAAGTCAATAGGATTATTGGGTCCAAAATATAGTATTGATTAATGATCATACATCTCAACCCCACAAAGAAATAAATACCAGAAATACTCAATATATCTTATTGGCATTTTGAATGAAAAGAAATTTATCAAATCATGTTTCAAATTCAAAAATATTTAGTTAGTTTTCTGTATCTTACTTTAATCAAAGCAATGAATATATTAACATCTGATGTGGCTTTGGAGGTTATGATTGGTTTGTCTAATGATCAAGGTGAAGTGTACAGTTTCAAACAAATTAAGGAGTGTTGTTAGGAATTGTTACACAGTACATACAGAAAACTGGAAGCTCTAACATCAAAGAATCTGAGAAATTGTTTGACAAAGTTATCAGTAAATTAATTCTTAAATTACTTAATAAAACAGCCCAGCAGGTCATTATCTTCTGATAATACATATGTACAGTACCAGCATACCAGCATAGACTACCTAGTTTGTCTGCCATTAGCATTTACATATTGACATTGTCAATGTATTGTTTCTATACTACTGGCATGTACAAATACCTGTAGTGTTCATCCATGACTATTGAGAAGGCTTTTCATTTATTCTTCATATGGAAAAATCAATACAACATGTTGTCATCAATTCAATAACATGTGTTACATTTTATCTGAAGCAGTTCTACATTATACAATTTGTACACATAGGTTTTTAAGACAATTGTATTAAGTTTGGTACATCTAAATATATATATTATCTACCAGCAAAAGGAGGATCATGTCCAACTCCAAGAAAGCTAAACTTGATTTTTCAAAAATTTACAATTATTGAGTAATATAACATTCAGTTTTATGGTTATAATCATACACATATATAAACCAAGTCAATTATGAGTCCACAAGTCTGGAACTATACTATATCCTAGTACAATAAGCAACACTTTTTATCATAATCATCAAATTATAAAACACCTGCCCTCTGCTTTGAGAAATGGAGGTTTGCACACCTTTCCCAAATGATAGTAAGAAAACTTAGTTATTTTTGGCTAAAACTACTTTGTGGTAAAGGAAACTTCACCATTGTCTATTCATAGTGCTGTCATGGGTAGGTATAAGCATCCAAATCAATATTTGTCCCAAAAAGAGGCTAAAATAATGAGATAAACCTTAATCCAGGGACAAAACACATTTACTTACTTGTACACAGATATTCTTTGCCTGATACAACATTACACGAAAAGTTCACTAATGTTAGGAATCTTGATGATGTACATGCAATATCATTGATTTTTTTTCACTACTTCACAATGATGTTAGCAAATACGTACAAAAGAAATTAAGATAAAACAGTAATGATTATTTCTTAACTGATATAGTGTTCATTGCAGTATATCCAACAACTGCCATTTTTGTGCAACTGCAGTATCAGAAAAGGGGACAAGGTATTTACATCTGATCCATAATCTGAAGATTATAACAGAATATTACAGCATTTTTTGTTGGTGGTTCTAAATCAACATGAATAGATATTGGTGTTTTTTTAACCAGACATGGACATATTGCCTGATGAATACAGTAGATCCTTAGGGGTGCATAAAATAATCAACCTTTAAAAGTCACTTAAATCTGAATTTGCTGCCTTCTTTTGGCTATGTATAGGTCCAACTTCTAAGTGTTACAACAAAAATATGTGACACTTTTTCAATAATCTTCAAACAGAGAAATTATTGTGATATATGATCTTCTTTTCCATATATACTCTCTTTTTGAGACTGCAGTTACAGCTGAAGTCAATGATATAAATTATATGTATGCTTGACAACTGGACTGACGCAACATTCTGGTTATGTTGCATCCTGTTAGCATTCAAACAGAAATAAATTGATGCATTTTAATGATATACTTCATGAATAATAGCAATGGGGAGTGGGCATATTTGTCAATATTTTTTTTTTATACAAAGCATTTGGTTTTTTCTATTTAATGTACTTTGACCAAGAAGCACAGATTCCATAAACTATGGTTTAATGTTGGCAGTAGCAGTTGTTCTATAATAAAAGTCCAGAATTTGATGAAGAATTTGATTTTTTTTTCTTTTAGAATGGCTATTTCATGTTTCAAAATTAGAACATGTGTAAATTGAACCTTAATCTGCTGTTGATGGTCACTAATGAAATGATTTTGAAAGTTTGACCCTGTAATTTAATATTATAGATACTGATGTAAGTTCATTCATAGTGTCTACTGAAATGAAGTAAAATTTAAGCAACTGGTGCCACTAAGTTTCCTTTACAAGTGAAGTCACAAGGCTTTTTCTGTCAATTTTGGACTTCTTGTTGGTCTTCTTTTGTAAAGTAAACATGCCAACTAGGAAGCAAATTAATAGGAGTAAACTGACCGTAAACTGTCGCAAATCAGTACCGGCTACTGAGCAAAATTTGTATTTGTAAAATCTCATTTAGTTACTTTTAAATTTTCTGCTTTTCAGAATTATGACAACTCAGAATAGTTGTTTAATCGATATCTGTGAAATATCTCGATTGGTTTTCACACAGGTAAAAGGTTGATGAATCATAGCATACTGGCCTATGCACCGATATATCCGTACGTGCACGGCGGTCTTGATGAAGGGAAAGTGTTTCATGAGAGCCTGACTCAGACTGACAGACTGAGGGGGCGTGAACATGTTTCACTGCATTTTGATCATATAATATTCGTATATATTCACGGAACGACAAAGAAATTATTATTTCAATACCTGTACTGCTCTGTTAAATAGTGTGCCTGCGTCTGCTGCGAACTTTTTCATCTTGAAGCGCTCACCGTTTTGCATCCATTAACCAGTCACTAAAAATCAATTTCCGACAGGCCAATCACTTCCGGGTTTTCCGCACTGAATTATACTACAAAGTATATTTTGAAAAAAATGAAGCACCATAAATTTTAAGCAAGATACATATACAAGTTAACGAATACTCTATCGAGCTGAGAATTAGATATATTTGTAATTCTGGAATATAGTTTTATTATATTCACCCCGAGACGGTCAAGTTGCCAAGAAGTTGTTTCAAAATGGCGGCTATGATCAATGAGATTAAGATAATGTAGTGAAGTTCGGCTTGTAAAAAGCCTTGTGCGTTCAAAAAATCACAAAAATGGACAATTCATTGGATTTAGTACTATGTGAGATTTTTTCTGTTCACAGTTTTGATAACAATATACATATTAATGTAAAAGTTTAACTTCAACGCTGAATTATCAGATTGTAAGCCATATTATCATACATTCATGTAAATTGTTACCGAACTGTTCAGAACTTGAAGACAAATTCGGATTTATCACCATGATGAAATTAGTTCTTTATAAGAATGTATTATTATGCGGTTGGTACAGTTGCAATAATGACACATGTTTCATTTGTTTACATGTCTGTTTACATGTATGTTGTTTATTTTTAGCTTTTAGTTGTACACAAAACCTCAGACCATGATTTATAATACTATCAAGGGTACATGGCATGGCATCCTAAGATATTTGATAATTCTCAGATAAAACGATGCATGTACCTCTACTGAACTCTCCCGATATTTGGGAAGCTCATTTCGGAAATCTTTATAAAATATTTTCAATAAGGAAACTTAAAGACTTATTATTATGCTTACAATACAGCCTTCAATATTTTAAAAAAGCTTTTTAGGGAGCAAATGATATGCTGAAATATAGGATGGCTTGTTTTAGCTATAACAAATGTACTTTCTAGAATAAAGAACTCATGACAAACTGTCTATTTCAATGAGAATATCCACTTGAATATACTTTAATGAATAAGTCTACTTAGATTTTTTGTTTGAACAATAGCAATATTCTTCTTGTTGACTTGTAGATAAATGGTAAACATAAAGGAAGCAAGATGATGAAGTACAATTCACGGGGATCACAGAAGATTTACCATGAAGATGAAACTGCATGTGGTCCTCTTTGTCAGCACCCAGCTTGTTGGCAGTCGACAAATCGACGTATCAAAAATATCCCTCGCAAGTTGGAGAAACTTCCACCACGGGAGGAAATTGAAACAGGTGCGCAAACTAATATGTTGAGATACATTTAAAAACTGTACATTCAATAAATGTAGGGTTAAAGGACTTGGTAATCTTTCTTACTTACCATGGGTTTCCCTCCTCCCCCTGAAACCCTCTATTTTATAAAAGTTGATGTTCATGATTTTTTCATTAAATCTCAAAATTTTATTTGTAATAGTTAGTTAAAATGAATCAGATTTTGCTGGTCACTTTATAAACTGTGAACACACCTTTAACACTTGAGATATGTTTTATTTTCCACTGAATAATTACATCCAAGTTTACTGTCCCCAGATTTGCCAACAGTTAAGGTGTGTAACATGCTGGCTGACTATGGAGAAGATTCAAGGGATCACTATCCCATGTATCATACCAACCAGCCTAACAATATGAGAGCTACGTCGGTACCAAACCTACCGTCACAGATGACCAAGACCAGGTATAGTAATCTTCGTTGGATCAAACTTAACAAATTATTCCTGCATGTAAAGCAAGATCAGTCTCTTACATTTCTTATTCATATATACATTTTGTTTTGGTAATTAGAAAAGTTTGAAAGAAACATAAAAGATAAATAAGATATGTATGTGAATCTCTTGAAAACATTTGTGTGGATACACCTGTAAATCCCCTCCTATTCTGGTATCTGTTACTTGCATGATTTTGAGCTACTGGTAATTTAGAAATGCATGTGGTATAATGTTTTTGCATTTGATTTTGTTGTGGGTGGTTTTATGGATGTATAACTGAACATGCATGTTATTTCATCTTGCATGATAAACCCATAAAAATAAAATACAAATACCAACAATCATTATAATCTAACACAATGCACTTCTATCTGTTTAAAGCATATCATGGCATAACAATATATTTCGTGTACATACCTTGTACATATATGTACTTCTGTTGCAAGACTACAGTCAAACCTTCTTGAAATACTCATTATTTTATATTCCTCACTACAACCTCTACCAACACGGTTCTGTTGTTTTTGTTTTTTTTGTTTTGTTTTTTTTTTTTTTTTTTTCAATTTTTCCTTTGAAACATCTGTTTTGTACAACATTTTGTACAGATTTTTTCTCCCATTTCATTTACAAATAAGTTTTACATTATGGACACAAAAACTTAAAGTTAGATACAGTAATTGCATGCTTTTTGTTTGATTATCTCCCCCTTAGACTCTATCAGAGGTGAGGATTGGATCATTAGTGTGACACTTTCATGTTCAGGGTTCTCCGTCACTTTTCTTATTGTAATGCAGAAAAGACAAGGAAGTATTTTTAGACAGCTGTTGTACTTATAAGCTGCATAATTCGTTTTATATTAAACAATCCATGCCTTAATGAAAACTTGATGAAACCAAGTTTGTCTTTGAAAAATACTAAAAATATAATGCAAATATATGTACTGTGTTTGACTTTCAAAATATTCATTATGATTTAATTTGATTAACTTGAAAATATTTTTAACTTTTTATTTAAGGAAATTGAAATAAGGTTGTCTTCCATGTTACCAAAAACCAGTGTATTCACATGTAGTAACCTGTTCATTGTTGACTGATGTATGTATATGCTACATAATTATGTGTATAGCTAGAAAAAGAGAAGTATTTGTAAATCAGTTACATATTTGTTGGACTATATGTTACGGAGAACCCTGCTCAATGTTTTGCTTTGTTTGGTTTGATTTGATGGTGTTGCTTTTGACTATTGTAATTGTACTGTAGTGTATTAAAATTGTTGCTGTCGTAGTGTTACTTGTTTGATATTGTTTCCCTCTGCAACAAAGTTTGCTAGAAAAGGAGTTCAGAGGGATCATGTGTGTGAACATGTGTGTGTGTTGTGGAATTTTACAGTTTTCATTTATATCCTTCCGTGGAGACTTATTTGTCCTGACAATTACTCCCTCAATTTGGACCTAATTTAACACTGACTTGCACATACTTACTTAATATACATTTTTGTATTAAGTAACATACTATAGTTAAATATATGTATAAGCCAAGGCAATAAGCTTTTTTTCCCTGTCTCAAGCTAATACATGCTAGTCCATTGTAAGCTACTGTAGTCCTGCAATGTACATGATGTACTAGTAAGGCTAGTAAGTTGGTAAAACTGTGAGAAAAAGTTAAAAAAAAATTATAATATATTTTAATCTTTTCAAATCAAGAAAAAAGAAAGTGACATTCAGGTAAGTGGTGTAAAAAAGAAAGGATTTATCATGGTTTTGAAGGTAGATTTGTTTTTATTTTCACGATGAAAAGTGTATAGGTACTGATGAAGCACTCTGGTGACAGGTATTATTGACATCATGAATTTGATTTTTACATTATTAATAAATTTATGGATTGGGATTTATTTGAGTCTGTTCATTTTCTTCCCTATATAGCATCATTAATACATGACTATAAGGTAGAATTTTAACCAAAATAAATGTTATGATATCAGAGATATAGTATTACATTAATATATAGCTAAATCGTAGCAAAAAGTGAAAGATAGCAATCAAAGAGGAAAATGATAATTTCAAAGGAAACAATTTTGTCTAAAATTTAAAATGTTAAAAGAATTTCACAAAGTTAATTATCTGTAGATTACTTTTTTGGAAAACATATTCAATCATTTCATTTGAAATATTAAGAAAAACAAATATTTAAAACTTTCTGTGCTGTTCAAAATACTACTGAACACAGATACAAAATAGAATGAGAAGATGAAGTTCACACTGTGTTTTGTTTATGACTCACTCGAGTTGTCTCCCCTATTGTAGTACGGGTCTGCGATTGACAGCCCCTGCCAGCACTCCTGTGATCAACAATCTGGATCCTCGCTCTAAACAGCAGCGGCAGCAAGACCAGTTCAATCGTCGCAACCTCAAGTATGTTGAAGTTCAGGAGGTGTTTGACCTTGAGGATCTTAACAGTACTTGGGACGATACATTTATAGCCAAACAGTACTACGTCTGGGTCCCCAAGGCCAATAGCAGAACCCCACGCAGTGAAAAATCAAATGATCAACAGTAAGTATACTCTCCTTCAACGTCTGGACAAAGAGAAAGAAAAGAAGAAATGATTGACAAGTAATACTATACTTAGATATTTTAATCAGAAATGTTTGTTTGGATGTAGTATGTAGCATTTATTCTCTAAGTTTATTACTTAAGCATGAAGATTTGCATTAAGCTAAATCTTTATTCATTTTCCATTCGTAGATCCTCTATAAGCCAAATGAATGCCACAAAGAAAGTTCTTGTAAAAGACATGACAGAAGATATGATCCCTCGTCATTATGAGTATGAACGTTACATGCAGGCCAGATCTGTAAGTACATGTTCTTTATACCTGTAAAAATATACCTCAGGGATAAATAATCTGATTTATTTTGCCATGATTGTGTTTATTTATTTTTAAGCTAACTTTTAACAAATGAATTTGAACATGTTTCAAAATTTTGTAATGCCAATCATGTAATAACATCCTGGTATAAGTATTTGAGCTTTGAGCAACTGGAAATAGTGAAGTCCTTTATGCACATCCATTCACCGTTGTTCAAAACTGGGATAGCTGAATTCTGAAGTAGAAGATAACTGGGACTTTTATGTAATGTGGGCAATTATATATATATATCTTACCCTCTGTATTATTTTAATGTGTGAAAAGACATTGACTTTCTTTCCTTTTTTATTTATTTTTTCTTGCACTCACTAAATTATTGATTAATTTTTAGATCAATGTGATATTTTGAACATTTGATATGAAAACAAGGGATATTTAAATGGCATTGAAGATGGAGCATCAACATCATATTTAGAATATAGATCACCTATAAGATATTGATCTAGTGAGATAAGATATTGATCCCGTGAGATAAGATATTGATCCATTGAGATAAGATAATGATCCAGTAAGATAAGATCCAGTGAGATAAGATATTGATCCAGTAAGATAAGATAATGATCCAGTGAGATAAGATATTGATCCAGTAAGATAAAATAATGATCCAGAAAGATAAGATCCAGTGAGATAAGATATTGATCCAGTGAGATAAGATATTGATCCAGTGAGATAAGATATTGATCCAGTGAGATAAGATAATGATCCAGTAAGATAAGATCCAGTAAGATAAGATATTGATCCAGTGAGATAAGATATTGATCCAGTGAGATAAGATAATCATCCAGTAAGATAAGATCCAGTAAGATAAGATATTGATCCAGTGAGATAAGATCCAGTAAGATAAGATATTGATCCAGTGAGATAAGATATTGATCCAGTGAGATAAGATAATGATCCAGTGAGATAAGATAATGATCCAGTGAGATAAGATATTGATCCAGTGAGATAAGATAATGATCCAGTAAGATAAGATCCAGATAAGATAGATCCAGTGAGATAAGATAATGATCCAGTAAGATAAGATCCAGTAAGATAATATATTGATCCAGTGAGATAAGATATTGATCCAGTGATAGATAAGATAATGATCCAGTGAGATAAGATAATGATCCAGTAAGATAAGAGATCCAGTAAGATCCAGTGAGATAAGATATTGATCCAGTGATCCAGTGAGATAAGATATGATCCAGTGAGTAAGTAAGATAAGATCCAGATAAGATATTGAGTAAGATAATGATCCAGATAAGAGATCCAGTGAGATAAGATAATGATCCAGTGAGATAAGATATTGATCCAGTGAGATAAGATAATGATCCAGTAAGATAAGATCCAGTGAGATAAGATATTGATCCAGTAAGATAAGAGAATGATCCAGTAAGATAAGATCCAGTAAGATAAGATATTGATCCAGTGAGATAAGATATTGATCCAGTGAGATAAGATAATGATCCAGTGAGATAAGATAATGATCCAGTGAGATAAGATATTGATCCAGTGAGATAAGATATTGATCCAGTGAGATAAGATAATGATCCAGTAAGATAAGATCCAGTAAGATAATATATTGATCCAGTGAGATAAGATATTGATCCAGTGAGATAAGATAATGATCCAGTGAGATAAGATAATGATCCAGTAAGATAAGATCCAGTGAGATAAGATAATGATCCAGTGAGATAAGATATTGATCCAGTGAGATAAGATATTGATCCAGTAAGATAAGATATTGATCCAGTGAGATAAGATAATGATCCAGTAAGAGATCCAGTGAGATAAGAATGATGATCCAGATAAGATAAGATCCAGTGAGATAAGATGATCCAGTGAGATAAGATAATGATCCAGTAAGATAATATCCAGTGAGATAAGATATTGATCCAGTAAGAGATCCAGTGAGATAAGATATTGATCCAGTGAGATAAGATATTGATCCAGTGAGAAAAGATATTGATCCAGTGAGATAAGATATTGATCCAGTGAGATAAGATATTGATCCAGTGAGAAAAGATATTGATCCAGTGAGATAAGATATTGATCCAGTGAGAAAAGATATTGATCCAGTGAGATAAGATATTGATCCAGTGACATAGATAATGATCCAGTAAGATAAGATCCAGTGAGATAAGATAATGATTTAGTGAGAAAAGATATTGATCCAGTGAGATAAGATCCAGTAAGATAAGATCCAGTGAGATAAGATAATGATCCAGTAAGATAAGATCCAGTAAGATAAGATAATGATCCAGTGAGATAAGATAATGATCCAGTAAGATAAGATCCAGTGAGATAAGATATTGATCCAGTGAGATAAGATAATGATACAGTGAGATAAGATATTGATCCAGTGAGATAAGATAATGATACAGTGAGATAAGATATTGATCCAGTGAGATAAGATATTGATCCAGTGAGATAAGATATTGATCCAGTGAGAAAAGATATTGATCCAGTGAGATAAGATATTGATCCAGTGACATAGATAATGATCCAGTAAGATAAGATCCAGTGAGATAAGATAATGATCCAGTGAGAAAAGATATTGATCCAGTGAGATAAGATATTGATCCTGTGAGATAAGATAATGATCCAGTAAGATAAGATAATGATCCAGTAAGATAAGAATTCAGTGAGATAAGATAATGATCCAGATAAGATAATGATCCAGTGAGATAAGATGAGATGATCCAGTGAGATAAGATATTGATCCAGTGAGATAAGATATTGATCCAGTGAGATAAGATAAGATATTGATCCAGTGAGATAAGAGAATGATAAGACCAGATAAGATAATTGATCCAGTGAGATAAGAGAATGATACAGTGAGATAAGATATTGATCCAGTAAGATAAGATCCAGTGAGATAAGATAATGATCCAGTAAGATAAGATCCAGTGAGATAAGATAATGATCCAGTAAGATAAGATCCAGTGAGATAAGATATTGATCCAGTGAGATAAGATGTTTCAACTTAACCTTAATTAGCCACAAATATAAATACACTCTAACATAACAATAATAGATTGAGTGCAAGAAAGAAATAATGAGCCTGACATCTAAATTCTATCTGGTAAAAATCACAAGATTTGATTAAGATTCTTTTTATGTCTTGTGTTACAAAACACACAGAAGGGCAGACATCACATAGTTACAGTTTTGTTGGCTGACTTATTACTACGCTAAATACATTTTTATAATGTTTACACTATGTTGTTGATTTCAGCCATCTATTCGGGTAATAAGTTATACTGTTTAGTCACAAATGTTTCATTTATCTGTAACACAAATTTATATCAGTTAGATCACATAGTCACTCATCATCATTAACTTTAATCAATACAATAATCTACACTAGAATAATTTTTCTTATTAAGTCACTATTTTAGCTTTCAGAATGAATAGTTAAATTTTGTATCATACAAATTTCAAGCATATTTTTTTTCTTGATGATTAAATTTGTACCACATTAAATTCTTAAATCTACAACACAATAAACATTTTGCTTTGATATAATTTGTTTCTTACATTTGATATCAATATTTACAAACAGAAATGATTCATGGCTTAGGAGGTTTCGTTTTCCTTACAATTCTTTTAACAAAAAATGTTCCAAAATACTAAACAAAGAAGAGTTATTGCCCCTTCATTATTCTTTAAGTAGCTAAATGTATCTGTAAGCTAGATGGCATTGCCAAGTGTTAACTTACACTCCAATGGTATTAATCACCCAAGTTCTTGTAAATTCTGTTGTGAAACGAAGGTATATAGTTATATATTGCATCACAGTCTTTATTTACCTATATATATCAGCATATACATTTTGATCAGATTGGTAACAATTACTAAATATTCCTGAATCTGATAATAAAATTTGTTTGTTATACAGCCAGACAGTTTAAGATATGAGAAAACCAATTCTAGGTTTAACGAGGTAAACTAGTTGATTTTGGAATGGTGGAAGTAGAATGGTGATGGCTGACATTTTAGGAGGATTAGAGATTTCATTAGGCATGACTCATTACTAACTATATCAGAAAGTGTATAATGTCTTAATGTTTTTGTTATCATCCTGTTATCCACTCTCCAAGTGAGTAGTTTATTTATCTGTTGGGATCTGGCAGTGGGTAATTTGTTATCATCCTGTTATCCACTCTCCAAGTGAGTAGTTTATTTATCTGTTGGGATCTGGCAGTGGGTAATTTGTTATCATCCTGTTATCCACTCTCCAAGTGAGTAGTTTATTTATCTGTTGGGATCTGGCAGTGGGTAATTTGTTATCATCCTGTTATCCACTCTCCAAGTGAGTAGTTTATTTATCTGTTGGGATCTGGCAGTGGGTAATTTGTTATCATCCTGTTATCCACTCTCCAAGTGAGTAGTTTATTTATCAGTTGGGATCTGACAGTGGGTAATTTATCATCCTGTTATCCACTCTCCAAGTGAGTAGTTTATTTATCTGTTGGGATCTGGCAGTGGGTAATTTGTTATCATCCTGTTATCCACTCTCCAAGTGAGTAGTTTATTTATCAGTTGGGATCTGGCAGTGGGTAATTTGTTATCATCCTGTTATCCACTCTCCAAGTGAGTAGTTTATTTATCTGTTGGGATCTGGCAGTGGGTAATTTGTTATCATCCTGTTATCCACTCTCCAAGTGAGTAGTTTATTTATCAGTTGGGATCTGACAGTGGGTAATTTATCATCCTGTTATCCACTCTCCAAGTGAGTAGTTTATTTATCAGTTGGGATCTGACAGTGGGTAATTTATCATCCTGTTATCCACTCTCCAAGTGAATAGTTTATTTATCAGTTGGGATCTGACAGTGGGTAATTTATCATCCTGTTATCCACTCTCCAAGTGAATAGTTTATTTATCTGTTGGGATCTGACAGTGGGTAATTTGTTATCATCCTGTTATCCACTCTCCAAG